CGCTGAGATTATAATGAGGAAAACTAAACCTTCGCTAGTCACAATCCAATCAGACAACGGGTCCTGTATTAGTTATCTCATGCTGTGTAACAAATTATCCCCAAATTTCACTGCTTAAATTGGCATGCATTTATTATCTCACACAGTTTCTTAGGATTGACAATCATGAAATGCCCAGAGGGTGGTTCTAGTTCAAGGTCTCTCAAAGAAATGCAACTGAACTGTCAGTCAGGGCTGCAATAAATAATCTGATCACCCAAAGGGGGAAGGATCGATTTCCAAGCTTACTTGTGTAGTTGTCTACAGACTTCTGATCTTCGCTGGCCGTGGGCTGGAGTCTCAGTGCCTTGTCACACAGGCCTCTCCACACACTACCTGAGTGCCTGAGTGTCCTCACAACATGACCACTGTTGTCTCCCAAAGTGAGTGATCCAAAGGAATCTTAGGGAAGGAAGCCACAGTCAGTTTTAACCTCATTTCAGAAGTGATACAACATCACTTCTGCTTTATTCTATTGGCCATCCAGACAAACCATAGTACAATGTGGGAGGGGACAACACAAGGTTGTGAATGCCAGGAGGTGAGTATCACTGTGGGCCATCTTGGATGGTGGCAACCACAGGTCCCGAGCAGACTTACAACTTGGATTCACCTAGATTTCACCTAGTGGTTAAAGTATACCTCCTCTAAAAGCCATTGTTTATTATTGGGGAAAAATTATATCTGAGTCTACTGGTGACCATCCAGACAGACCACAAGGGACAAATGGAAAGCTGCTGACATTTCTCTGCCAAAGTTACATAACCTCTCTGTGACTTGAGTCTACTAAGTATACAAAAGCATTAACAATTCAACTCTAAGTCAAACTTTTTATGGGGACTAAGGGCCAAATTTAATTTCAAAAAATATGTATGATCTACAGTATAGCCTTGAGAAGGGTAAAATATATGAAGAAGTAATATAAAACAATATGCTGTTAGGTGATTACCAATCATATGCATGTAAGAATAAAGTCTTAAAACTTGACTATGAAAAGTTGGAAAACAAGATACCTTTCAGGTTTCTTATTTCTCAGCTTGAATAATTTAATTGGATTTTATAATATCAGTAGAAATCAATGACTGCTTTTAGCTTTTCTATTTTGGGTGACAGATAAGTCACTTTGAATACTTCTGGGTAGTAAATTGCCAGGTAGAGGTACAATCATTAAAAGTTACTATATAAAATTCTTGGCATTTTGTAAAGGAAATCTCAGATGGTTTTTAATTTCAGAGTCTTCTAAAGGGTTTCATATAAATCAGCTGCTTGAAACTCACAAATCATAAGGTACCTGACCCAGGCAAAGCAAATACAGAGTGGTAGGGCATAAAGAACTCTACTGAATTTATACATACAAATAAATAGCCAATTTTAAACTGAATATGATTTTTAAATCATTAAATAACCTAGCCATCTGGTTAAGTCAGGACCTATCTGCAGACTAGAAAGGCTATTTAAAAGGCAGAGTAGTGACAATAGATGACTTTTTCTTAAGACTGCACATTATCTATGCTTAGATTTACTCTCAGTCCTAGTCAAGGTATGCTCCTAAACGCTCTACCTTTCAGGGGGGAAGGGAATTATTGCAGGTCAAGAGATGGTGATTTTTACCTGAGGAGGAAAAGGAGTCTGGGTAGTGCTTGGTGCTGACTTTATTTTAGCAGTCGTTCTCCACCTTAGCTGCATAATAGAATCAGAGTCTCTGCGGCGAGACTTACCAGTTTATTAAACTCTCCAGGTGATTTTACTGGAAGGCCAAAGCTGAGACTCTGTCTTGAGACAGTGAATCTCATTTCAGCGACCATCAGAATCATCTGGAGAGCATGCTGAAATTACAGAATGCTGGGCCCCATCCCTAGAGTTTCTGATTAGGTAGGTCTGGGGTTGGCTCTAATAATTTGCATTTTTAACAGGTTCCCAGATGATGCTGATTTGCTGTCCTACACTTTGAGAATCAATCACAGATGAGTTTGGCTTTTGTTATATTTTTACTGGAGTTCAGCTGTGCGCGGGGTAGTGGGAGGGGTGAAAATTGGTAGGACAGAAGCCGCTAGTCTCCCCACTTCCCTGGCCCAACCCCCCTCCAAGCTGAAGGTGAACTGGAATCTACCACTGCATCGCGTCCCCCCTATTTTCTCAGTCTTTATTTTATAACAGACTGAGGAAATAAAGGTTCCTCAGGGCTCCGTTGAACGGTCCAAAGCTGTTTAGATCGCACTTAATCAGCCCAGTTTAGCAGGCTTCTTTGCTCATGCGCACCAACATCTTCCTTCTCTCCAGGGCGCCCTGCTCAGCCCGCTAGCCTTTCTCTCCTCCCCTGCCCCGCCCCCAGCGTCCCTGCGTAATTGCGCAGGCAACGTGCAAGGAGTTCAAAGCAAGCGGCGAGGAGGCCACGGTCGGGCACCGCGTGTCGCGCAGGCGCGAGGGGAGAGGCGCCGGAGCCGCTGTCATGGCCTGCGTCAACCCCGTGGTAAGGAGTACCAGACTGGCCTCTAGGCCTGTGCTCTGTGTGGAGGGAGGGCTGGTCCAGGTGTCACGGCAGCCCAGTCCTGCGCACACGTTTTCCCCTCCTGGCCCTTTACAGCTTTTCAGAAACCCTCGCCTTAGTGGCCCCGGCTGTTCTCCGTTTGGAGGAAGCCGATGAGGACCAGTAGTAGCTCAGCCGGAAGTTGGGAGCCGCCCGCTGGGGGAACCCCAGCCTCCTCCTCCGCGCGTTCGTCAACCGCCTTGAAGTTGTCTGGAAGAGGTGGTTAGAGCTGGAGCTCACGTTAACCCAGTTTCCTGTGTGTTTAGAAAATTCCCGAGTTCAGTTGTACTCCCATTGTAATTCTTACTTTCAGTATGGCCATTGTTGATTGGGAGCTATATTATTTGCCTGAAGTAACAAGTGATATGATACTTTGTGACCCCACGCATGTTTTTTGAATTCTCTCCTACCCCCATTTCCCCATCCTGAATGCCTAAGTATCCAATTGGAATTAAACACAAACCTTGATCTCTTACCCTTACAGTGAGAATTGACAGGCTAAAATGGCACTTGTGAAACGCTCTATCAATTTTAAAAAGCCGAATTAAAGAGAAAAACGAGGAGTCACCTTTATTTTCAGTTCACCTGAACAAACTTCATGTTTGGTGAAAGGCACTGGGCTTGTCCGGGTCTGTTATTTTACGGGTTCCATGTACACATATGCAGCATAAAAGTGTCCATTTTTAGAGACACGTTATTTCAATGTATATCCATTTTTTTGATAATGTATTTTAAGATATGTAAAATACTCAGGCTTGAATATAAGCTTACCTTGTGTACCATTTTATCTGATAGTGAACTTTACGGAGGGCTGTGTGTATTTTCTTTTAAGAGGTTAAGATGGACTTCCTGGACTATACATAGTTCTAATGAAGGTAACAGGGAAAGGGTATAAAGTCTAACCTTAGTTCCAGAAGAGAAAGTATGTTCAATACCTGTTTTGTTTTTGAGAAATTGTGTTCTAATGGTTTATTTTTGACAGCTGCTTTTATACTCTGAGGGTGGATCTTAAGGAAGTTTTTAGCCCTAGGAGTTTTTTCCTCTTGCTGTAAATGTGATCCAACTAGCTGGGATGAACACTGAAGTAGCACTTTAGTATGCCTTTATCAGGGTGAACTGAGAAGAAGCAACTAATCTAGGGCACTTAAGCTTAATGGATAGGCCTGTGAATAACGTGTTACTGATTGGCCTATTCAAAAGCTCGGGATCTTTAGAGGGATTAGTTTTAAGCCTAACTACTCTTGGTGTGAGCAGGAGTATTTAGAGTATTTACTGGGTAGTATGAAAGAGCAGTCCTAGAATGCCACAGTTTTTATTGCCAAATCTTGTGGAAGGGTATGGTTCATTGATGTTCTGGTTAGGTTCTGTTAGGAATCCATTTTGGTGCAGTGGTACTTTTGCTTGGCAGTGGTTCACAAGACTACCTGTATTTTGGAAGGGGGATAGTCTTTGGTTACTCTATTGTAAGTGCTTGTCTCAACCTTATGGCTTGCAACTTAGTCACATACGTGGAAGTAATACAGTGAACTCTAAAAACTCCTTTGGCCTCTTTGAGAAAAAAGTAACTTGAAGACAGTAGGTTCGTTTCCACCTGCCTTAAATGAATTTATTCTAAGCGAAATAAGTCAGAGAAAGACAATTATCATATGATCTCACTCATGTGGAATTTAAGAAACAAAACAGAGGATCAGAGGGGAAAAAAGGAAAAAATAAAACAAGATGAAACCAGAAAGGGAGACAAACCAGAAGAGACTCATAATCATAGGAAACAAACTGAGGGTTGCTGGAGGGGAGCGGGGTGCGGGATGGGGTAACTGGATGATGGACATTAAGGAGGGCATGTGATAGTGAGCACTGGGTATGATACGCAATTGATGAATCACTGACCTCTACCTCTGAAACTAGTAATACATTATATGTTAGTTAATTGAATTTAAATAAAAAATAAAAGGGGGAAGTTAAATTTTTTTTTTTTTTAAAGATTTCATTTATTTATTTGACACAGAGAAAGCAAGTGAGGGAACACAAGCAGGGGGAGTGGGAGAGGGAGAAGCAGGCTCCCCGCTGAGCAGGGAGCCCGATGTGGGGCTCGATCTCAGGACTCCCGGATCAGGACCTGAGCCAAAGGCAGACGCCCAACGACTTGAGCCACCCAGGCGTCCTGGAAGGTTAAATTCTGACAGAAAAACCAAGTAACTGTAACCTACCATCTTGATGAATTATTATCTCATGTTGGATTGTAGTTCTGTAAGTCAATGTTGTAAATAGCCTGAGACTGTGGGTCAGAATTTATGGACAGCTAAGACTATACTGGGAGTAGATTGCACTTAGTAAAAATCCTTATGGTGGTTTTTCTTTAAACCATAAGAAAGTATGTACACTGAATACATTCAAGCTTGAGAATTTAAAATGTTAACGGTTGCTTTTTTTGTAGCCTAAACTCTACAGATCTGTAATTGAAGATGTAATTGAAGGAGTGCGGGATCTATTTGCTGAAGAAGGTATAGAGGAACAAGTTTTAAAAGAGTTGAAGCAGGTTTGTAGACAATACAAGTTGCCCTTTTTGTTTTTTCTTCTTAAAAAACTGATAAATTACAGTTTTAACCCCTTAATTATAGTTTAATGTTTACCCATTGTGCCATCAGCTGCCAACTGGGATGAACACTGAAGTAGCACTTTAGTATGCCTTTATCAGGGTGAACTGAGAAGAAGCAACTAATCTAGGGCACTTAAGCTTAATGGA